AAACTTAATTTCTTCCTTAAGAAAATTAACTTGTTTGCTTTTATTATGAATTAAATTAACTAACTTAGACACAGAAGACTTTTGAAGTAACTTAAGACTGTGTAGCTCTGGTTTAGTTAAAAACTCAAATTTAACTCTTTCTCCTAATTGACTTGAGGTAACTCCATCGTATTCTACCTGGAAAGGGTAAAGTAGTGAAATAAAAGGTAAACCTAAAATTACTTCATCCGTGATATTCTGGATCAGGACGAAGGACGTCTTAAAGCATATCTTATTCTGGCAAACGTGGGCTTTGGTAACTCATATTTTAATTTTAAGGCTTTACCAGACGCTGTTCCTAAAACTTCTTTTGACTTCTTGTAAAACTGGGTCGGAACTAGGCCCTCCTGTATACAATTTAAATTGGCTCCTGAATCAAATAAGGCAATTGTGTTTAACTCAAATTCATTAATAAAAATACTAACTCGTGAGTACCATTTCCTAAAATTAATTTGCTTAATTAAATTAATAACTTTATCTTCTTTGTCGAACAACTCAGGTTCTGACTCAGAACTAGATTTTCCAAAGGGATTATTAGACTCTGCTCTAGATTCCATTAGTTTAACTAGACCTTGCTTAATTTCATAATTCTCAGTTTGTAACTTCTGACTAATCTGTTTTAATTCTAAAATTTCTTTTTTAATTGTTTTGACTTCTAACTGAAGATCCTGGAGGGTGACTTCTTTCTTTTTATTAAACCTTTCTAAAGTGGCGTTAAGGCTTATCTTAGGTGGCGTAGGAGAACTGGACTCTTCTTGGCTTATGACCTTCCTAAGGCCATCCCCAATGGTTGGGGCTCTAAAAAGGGTTTATAGAGCCCCATTTAGAGCTCCGATGGAATCTTTGGGGCTCTAAAGGAATCTCTCCCACAATGGGGGGCTCTATATTCATGGCGGGCTCTATATTTTTTTTATGATGTAATTTGATTTACATGGTTTTTTTTTTTTGTTAACTATTTTACTTTAATGTTTATTCATGTTATGTTAGTTTTTTTTTTTTGTGAACATTTCAACCAAAAAAAATCAAAATTTGGACAAAATTTGGAAATCAACATTTATTTCATAGATACAATGGTCATCCCAAAGTTGGATATGGATCCCTTGCAAAGAACGTGCAAAGAACGTGGGCCAGCATGCAAATCAACAATCAACTTTGCAAATTTGTTTTATATGGGCCAACATGCAAAGAACGTGGGCCAGCAGCAAATCAACAATCAAATTGAAGGCAAGTATGCCTTGTACAGTCGCAGGCAAGTGAGAAATAACACAAAAGTGGGCTGCAGCTTTTTCAATTGGTGGGTCCCACTCGGTTTCAGGGGCTTCAACCAAGGTCATACATTTAGCTACTACTCCGGCTGGGCTTTAAGTTTTAGAGCCCCAAATTTGCACCATTGGGGATGCCTTTTTAAAGAGGGTTTGTATATATTGGAGCCTTGTGGTGGTTGAGCCCCATATAGAGTCCCCATTGGGGATGGCCTAAGCTTTCTAAGGTATTCAGATTTTAACTCGGGATCCTGGACTTTACTAATTAACTCAATTAGTAGCTCTTCTTGTTCTTCTTGCGTAGTGAGGACACAAATTGATTTACTTAGAATTCTACAGCATTTTTCTTTACAACCTAATTGGACTTTAGGTGAACTAGACTGGGAACTGTCTGAACTGTAACCATGTGAACTGGCTGAGGACATGGGATCTGACTCAGTGCTGGCTAACTCAAGGACTTTAATTAGCTTAGCTTCGTCATCGGATGCTAACTTTAATTGCTTAATTGTATCTTTAACTTTGCACTCATTAGCGTAATGACCTTGTTTTTTGCATTTAAAACATTTAACTTTGCTTTTATTTGTCTTTTTCTTAAACTGACTCTTTTTACTCTGTCGGTAACCTTTTGAATATCCTTTTGACCAATTGCTTTTCATAGGGGTAAACTTCTTTTTACTATAAAACTCATAATTATTCTTGAAAGAATTTTTCTTACGAGAATAATGGCGACTTTTACTAAAGCATCTATCATTATTTCTTTTGACCTGTCTAGACGGTGGGACCGGTGCTAGACCATACTGTTCGCAGAAATTACCTAACTCATACTTGGCATTTTTACTATCGGCTTGGATTGATTTACCTATTTTTAAATCTACACACATTTTCATACCGACCTAGTTCATTGTACTAATTATATTACCGTAGGTTAACTCATCATAATTAATTTGACCTGATTCGTTGCTTAAGACCGTTCTAATTTTATGGGCAAACAAATTAGTGAGACCATGAATAAACTTTTCTTTCCAAAAGGCTTGATTGCTATCATCTCTTAGCATGACTCTGGAAATAAAAACATCTTTATACCATCTAAAATCGCTTAGCTTAGGACATCTTAAATTACTTAACTGGTCATGGATTCTGGCTGTTGTACTACTAGGTGTACCAATAAAATGCTCAATTATAGTATATAAAAGAACATTGACTCCGTCTTCTATACTTGTTCCTATACATTCATCTAAAATAGGGTAACCTTCTTCATTTTTCTTAAAGGCATGGATTATTCTTAGCTTGGCATCTTCTGTGAGATGTTTATCCCACCAGAAACAAAGTGTTCCTGTGAAACCTGTTTCTAAAAGGCTAACTATTTCTGACTGTCTTAACTGATGATTAGTGGCATAACTATTGGCTACCACAGACATATGTTGTAACTTGTTAAGTACCTCCTGTTCGGACAAGCCATCGATATTTCACTCGTATAGCTTATCAGAAGACACTGAGAACTGACTATGGGTTCTTTCTTCGAACTAGACGTCTGGAGGCGTAAGCTTAGGGTACCAATTTTTGCTAAGACTTGTGTGGTTAACTTTGCCTGTTAAACGACTTACTTTGAGACTCTGGGCATCTTGGTTAACTTGCAGATTACTAAAGGCTTGCTCAATTTTAGAAATATTGCTAGTTTCTGACTCTTGACTAGATGTTGATTCTAAAGACATAATTGACTCACTGTCAGAATTAACTTCTAATTGTAAAACTTTAACTGAGGTTTCTTCTTCTTTACCTTTGTCTTTATCTTTATTTGGCTTAGATTTAACTGGGGTTAATTCTTGAAACATTTCTTCAATTTTTCTCATTGTTGGGTTAACTTTAAGTGCAGACTCAGGCTTTAACTCGAAGTGAACTAAGGGTTTTTCTTTCTTAGCCTTAAGGGTTACTTCCTGTGGAATTAACTTATCAACTTTTGTCTCTATTTTATCTAACTGTTTTCCTATGACTATTAGACTTGTGTTGGTGTAATTATTTTGTTCTATGACTTTCTTAACCTGATCATCTTTTGACTCAGTAACTTTGTAAGGACTGGCTATAACTTTGGCGTTCTTGTGGTTAACTATTATTGACTCAACAGGGGGGTGAGTACTGGTAACTTTGGTATTATCGGCTTTTTCCCATTTTTCCTGGGTTAAAGTAACTACCTTTTGACTCATATATTTGCTTTCTACGTAATCTAGATAAGGTGACTCTGACCTAGTTGTTTTTAGATATTCTTTCCACTCTTTGAAAATTTCTTTTCTTTGAGCTTTGGGGAAAGAATCATGATACTTGGTTTTTCGTGACTCATTTTCAGGGGCTTGGAAATGGGCATCTAGTTTTGACCAATGAATTTTAAATGGTTTACTGAGAACTCTTAGCTGGGCATCACAGACAAAGGTGGAACCATCCATCATATCTGACCTAGTAGGTGACTCTGGTTGAATAAATTCAGGAGGGGCAGTAGGGGCTCTGTTGTAACTTGGTTTAGTAAGCATTGTATCTTCTTTCGGTTTTCAAAGTTCTCTCAGAGTTGTAGACCTGAGACAACACTTAGTTTAGGAGCGTGAGTGTCCTTAGTGGCATTGCTCGAGTGTTGTAAGAGTGAGAGTGTGAGTGTCCTGCGTGGCATTACTTTCGCTAGGAACTAAGATTTCTGTAAGTTTTTACATTGTTTTTCAAGCCTCACTAGTTAATAAAGTTAAATTATTTTCTAGTTAAAACTATCTAAGTTATTCATAGTCTTTCAAATTCTAATTTTAAGCATTAAATGATTCATCTATTAGTTTCAATTTATGTTTTTTCAATAATTTATTTTATTCATTATTTCTCTATTTTTTATTTTTTAGTTGCTCAAGCTGTCTTCCAAGCCAATTATTTAGTTATTCTTTCTATTCTCTTCTCTTAGTCTGGGCCTTTATATATATATATATACCATGTAAAATTATGATTTAATATAATATTAATTTTGTTTTGTCAAATTGAATTAAGATTATTTTGAGTTGTTGAGTTGAATTTTATAATTCAATTGAATGAAATTGAGTTGAATGATAATTTCAGATGAAATTGAAGTGTTATGAGGTAGGATAAATATTTTTTAAAATAAAAAATCGGGAATTTAGGACGGGTTTGGGAGGTTGACCCCAACGGAGATGGGGATTTCCAGAATTTTTATTACCGAGAATAGGGCCAGGAACGGGTATGGTATTGCCATACTCATCCCCCAACCGACCCGTTGCCAACCCTCTTTGAGTCGGTGGAAGGGCAGCTTGCCTGCAGCAACAGAAACAGAAACTGCACGAATTTGTCATATCTACAGAGAAAGAATGGGACATGCGGTAACTGATGTTTACAAAATCTGGGCTTATCTTTTCTATGCCCAGCTGTCCTCTTGGACATCATATGGGTTATCTTTTGCTTTTGGGCCAAGTTCACACATACATGATACATACGCAAATATAGAACGAAAAATTGTCTGCTAATTTCGTTCTGGTTTCAAGAATCTATCCAAGTTGTAAACAAAAGGAGAAAGAGACCCTCAACTTACGTGATTAACACATTTTATTTAATATGACGAGTACAAAATAGAAAATACGTACATATAGGCGTACATAGACGAATGACACGCTACAAGAGTGATACATTGTAGAAAAACAGAAAATACGCATAGTCCACAAAATATTACAAGTACAGATTATGATCATTTATGAAGGCGATAGGAAGGAATAGCGAGTAGATGCTTGGCCCTTGATATCGTAAGACCAAACACCTCAGTCATGTCCAACTCTTCTGGCAACATGCTATCTGGAAGCTCCCAATCAAAACAATGCACAAGTTGTGCCAACACTATCTGGACCACAGTAAGGCCTAGATGCATTCCAGGGCAACGTCTTCGGCCAGAGCCGAATGGGATAAGCTCAAAGTGATTTCCTCTAACATCAATGTTGCTACCCTCAAATCTTTCTGGTATGAACTCCTCTGCATCTGTCCAAGCACTCGGGTCTCTCCCGATTGCCCACACGTTTATGATAACATGCGATTTTTTGGGTATGTGGTAGCCATTGACAGTGCAATCTTTAATGGCTGCATGAGGAAGCAACAATGGTACCACTGGATGTAGCCTCAAGGTTTCCTTCAATACCATGTTCAAGTACTCCAATTTCTCCAAGTCTGATTCCTCCACCATTCTGTCCAATCCAACAACATTTTCTAGCTCTTTTTGGACTTTATTCATCGCCTTCGGATGCCTCATGAACAAACTTGAATCAGAGAATTTAATGTGGGTGGTCAGTCCTCTGTTTCACACAAAGAAATCTTGGTTCATAGAAAATTTTATTTTCACCAAATTTCTGTGAGATACGGCTAAATCACCCTAAGGCTGGTTCATAGTCCAAAAGACACCAGATGCGTTGAATTTTCACTTTCCCTTGAGATCTTTTGTATTTTGAAATATGTGGGGGATTGTTGGAATTTGTGTAAGTATTTCAAAATACAAACAATTATTTTATTACTTATTTTATGTTGAACTTATATTTCCAGATTTTTGAGTGGTTTGATTACTTCTTTAAAACTGCTATTATTTTCTATATTTATAAAATCTATGACATGATACTTTTATATTAATTGTTAGCGTTGTCGGTTTTGATATCTCCTCTTTGGTTTTAATTGAGTTATTACCGTTACTTTTTATATCAATTTATTTTATCATTTAAATAAGTTAAATGTATTTGGTTTACAATAGTTGGTGAAGGTTTTGATTCCAATCTTTATTGCGTGAGTTAATTGCTTAGTTGGGATCAAATTTTGTTCTTAACGTGCAAGTGTTTTATGTGGTTTAATTGCTTGGTTAAAAACCCAACGTTCACTTGGAGTTGGCAATCTCCAATATAATAAACCATTCGAGCTATGTGTTAAAGATGAGAAGAGAAATCAGATTGACAAATTTCTTCATTATTTTCTTCTCTGCGTTCTTGAGTTTGTGTTCCAATTTGTTTTCTTTTATCAAGGGAAAGATTCAAGTGTTCATCTGACCCAAGTATTGTGAGTGTACGCTTATGAGGGTCATAGGTTGTTGTATCCTGGAGTGTAGAGCGCCATACAACCTTGCTACACCGAGACATTGTCTCCGAGGGGCGAAATCTACTCTTAAGGACAGTGACTACACGCCTCAACCTAAAACTATTAAGTATCAATGGAGACCAACTTCTACATCCCAAAAGATAAGTATTTTACTGTAATTTTCATTGATTTTATTTAATCTACTCTATCAATGTAAATTACAATTTTCTAATAATGATTTCATATAATGTTTTGCAGGAAAAGTAGCATCCATAAAACAAATTATCCAACAATCCATGTACTTCTTCCCAAACACCATCCGGCAGCTCATGCCTACGCTGAGAGATGAGACCTTGTCACTCAGATCAACAGCAATACTTCCACTATTCGCAGCGGCACGAATAGCCTCAACACATAGAGCAACCTCTTCTATCCGCATGGACTTGAAGGAGTTGATTTTTTGGTTACTGAGCAACTCAAGGGTGCACATCTTTCGGGTGTCGCGCCAATATGGACCATATTCAGCAAAGCTCAAGCTCCTCTGCCCAAAAGAGATGTGCTTTGCACCTTCATGGGGTGGCCTGCTAGCAAACGCAAGGTCGTGTGTTTTGAGGAACAGCTCGGCAGATTTTGGAGATGAGACAACAATGGTAGGCATAAGGCCTAAGCGCATGTACATGATGTCGCCGTATGTTTGGGCTAGTCGATGAAGGTCCTTGTTAGGGAACTCCCTTAGCAAGTGAAGTCTTCCAAAAATGGGAAACCCTCTTGGACCAGGAGGTAACGTCGTCTTCTTGTTCTTGCACCATGCTTGCAGGATAGCAAGGGCAAGCAACCCAATTGTTACCCAAATCCAAACCATTGTTCTTTGGATTTTTTTTGTTTTTTGTTTTTTTTGTGTGGGTCGAATGCTCTTTGGGATGATCTCAAATGGTTGAGCTATTTATAGCCGAGTGTGTTGAGCTATACGCCACTTTTGAATAGGTCTTACTTTGTTTCCTTGTGTAAAAAGAATGGGCTTGATTAAAAAAATGTAGCTGAGTGTGACTTAAATATTATTGTACGTGGGATTTTCAAAGGGATTGCTTTTTTTAGGAAAAGCATTGAAATTCTAGTGCCTCTTATCAATCCAGGCCTTGTAAATGCTTACGTCACAGGTCGAGACGTGAGTGTGACTGTCATCCATTATCTATAAAAAAAATTCTGGAAGACGTATATATGGAAATTACAACGTTGTTATGTCTATATACATAAACTAGATTGAAATTGCTTTGAAGTCATGTACCACATATGTGACTTCTTGGATGAAAAATAGATGAAATTTGAAAATTTTGTTGATAAAGGTTAAATTGGTTGTCTTAATGAGTTCGACGCTAAATTGATTGATTTGTTAGTTTTGGAAGTTAAATTCGATTAGGGTCATAATTCGGGGGATAAAACAGCTAAAAATTCAAGCTAACTTTATGAGAAACAGAATGAGGAAAATTGCAAAACCAAATACAAAATAGTTGATTATGTCCCAGATTGACTAATATATGCTACCATGTTTGCTTCTCATTATCTCTAATACTGTGATTGCATAAACCATGCTTCGTTGACAAGTTCACGTGAGGAGAGGCAACTCGAGTAAGACAATTTTCTTGGTTTATTCATGTCAGCAAGACTTGAGTAGGTGGCTAAATTCCACGGCACTGACTGAGTTATCAGCTCTTATCTTGTTCAGCAAAACTTCTCTAATTTGGTGGGCCATTGGAGCCAACCAAATTAGATTTGACCATCTTGTCTTGTTTCTGTATCTCCATTTGAAAGTTTTCTGTTTTTAATTTTTTTACAAATGAAAACAAAGAATATGAAAATTGAAAGAACGGACCCACAAATTTAACAGGTCGTGTTGTGCAGCCCCTCTCACTTTAAGTGACCAAACACAATTTATTTCTTTATCATCTTTTATTTTCCTCAGGTGAAGAAAACAAATGTATGGAGCTACAAGAGTGGTACATGCACCTTATGCTGTGCGAAGGCGATAGGAAGGGATAGCGAGTAGGTGCTTGGCCCTTGGAACCGTAAGGCCAAACTCCTCAGTCATGTCCAACTCATCTGGCAACATGTTATTCGGAAGTTCCCAATCAAAACAATGCACAAGTTGTGCCAGCACTAACTGGACCACAGTAAGGCCTAGCTGAATTCCAGGGCAACGCCTTCGCCCAGAGCCGAATGGGATAAGCTGAAAGTGATTTCCTCTAACATCAACGCTGCTACCCTCAAATCTTTCTGGTATGAACTTCTCTGCATCTGTCCAAGCATTCGGGTCTCTCCCGATTGCCCATGCGTTTATGAGGACCCTAGATTTTTTGGGTATGTGGTATCCATTGACAGTGCAATCTTCAATGGATGCATGAGGAACCAGTAATGGTGCTACTGGATGTAGCCTCAAGGTTTCCTTCACTACCATGTTCAAGCAGTCCAATTTCTCCAAGTCTGATTCCTCCACCATTTTGTCCAATCCAACAACATTTTCTAGCTCTTTTTGGACTTTCTTCATCGCTTTCGGATGCCTCATGAGTTCAGAGAGTGCCCACTCAATCGTTGTCGATGACGTGTCCATGGAGGCCACCAGCATGTCCTGCAAAAAAATTCACCATAGTTTACATGAAATAGTGTAGCACACATGACATAGATGATAAATTACATAAAGGATTTACATGTTAAATATATTTGAAGGTAATGTTCACTTAATAGCCAGAGATCATATATGACATATCAATTTCAAAGAAAAATCCTCCTAAATAATGATTCAGATTCACAATCTCAGACAATGACATGTTAAATTACCTAACATGAAACAATGTCCTTTTACTTTGAGCAATGCAAAAATAAAAGGACAAATAATTTTAAAAAATGATGCTAGGATTTGGTGTATATGTATACTCACCAATATTATAGCCTTGATATGGGGGCGTTCGATTCGGTATTCAGATTCTTCGGACCCCATGAAGCCCACCATAACATCAACAAAGTCCTTAGTTCTTTCTCCATCGTTAGGTTGAAGATGCTCCTCAATGATCTTCTCAAACAAGTTATCAAATGCCTTGTTAACAGACTTCATGCGTTTTGTGAACCCTTGGAGGTCAAGTGGAGCAATAAAAGGAATGTAATCACCCAAGTTAGGAGCAGATGCCAATTGGATACCCTCTCTGACCACAGCCTTGAAACCCCTCTCATCAAACTCCTCATCCCTGTACTTCTTCCCAAGCACCATCCGGCAGCTCATGTCCACGCTGAGAGACGAGACCTTGTCACTCAGATCAACAGCAACACCTCTATTATTCGAGGCCGCTCGAATAGACTCGACACAGAGAGAAACCTCTTCTCTCCTCATGGACTTGAAGGAGTTGATTTTGTGGTTGCTGAGCAACTCAATTGTGCACATCTTCCGGGTGTCGCGCCAATACACGCCATACTCAGAGAAGCTCAAGTTCCTTTGTCCGAAAGAGATGTGCTTTGAACCTTCATGTGGTGGCCTGCTAGCAAAAACAAGGTCGTGTGTTTTGAGGAACAGCTCGGCGGCTTCTGGAGATGAGATGACAATGGTAGGCATAAGGCCTAAGCGCATGTACATGATGTCTCCGTACTTTCGGGCTAGCCGATGAAGATCCTTGTTAGGAAACTCCCCTAGCAAGTGAAGGCTTCCAAAAATGGGGAACCCTCTTGGACCAGGAGGTAACCTCTTGTTCTTCCACCATGCTTTCAGGATATGAACAAGGGCAAGCAACCCAATTGTTGCCCAAATCCAAACCATTGCTAGCTCCTTGGGGATGATCTCAAATGGCTGAGCTAGGAGAGAGAGAGAGAGATCTCTCTTCTATAACTTTTGGAAAAGGTCTTACTTTTGTTTCTTTGTGTTCCTATACTTTTCTCCCCTTTATAGTAAAAGCTTAATCCTCTGAATGGACACATGTCTCTTGGTGCGCAAGTAAGACGATTTTCTTCGTTCTTTCATGTCAGCAAGAGTAGGCGGCATTTATTGTTCCACGGCAGTGAGTATAATTCTTTTCTTTATTTTTTCTTTACTTGTTGATCACCCTCCCTAGTCCCTTTTAGGTCCAATTGAAAACGTCACCACCTCTAAGTTTCGAAGAGTGGGCCAGTGGAGAGCCACTATATTAGAATAAATCTAGATCTCCAATTGAAAATTTTGTCTTGTTTCGTATGTTATCCCACCCACTGCTGAGAGATAGTGATTTTTATTTACATCTTTTGTGTAGGATGAATTTCAACATCAATGCTTGTTATATCTTGATAATTTTCTGAAAGGTCAATAATGTTAGCTCTCCTGTATGAGCAACTGTTTGGCTAAATAGCTGACGGGGCAAAGTTGCTGGTGTGTCAAGACTGTTGCGTTAACCATGTGTGTTAGTTTGTATTAGCTTTTGTAATAGTGACGTGTATCTTTCAGTTAGTTACGGAGAGCTAGCTTAATTACTAAGCAAAGCCCAAAGTATAAAGGTCTCTTGGTACTGTAATATTCAACAATTGAAAAAAGAAATCTCAGATACTATTCTCATTTTTCTCTCTCTGCTTTCTCGATTCTTCTTCTTCTTCTTCTTCTCAATTCTTCCTCAATCGTTAGCATGGTATTAGAGCCCTACGTGGCTCGTACCCTCTAATCCTGATGTGCTTCCACTGTTTTCAACTCTGATTTCCTGTTCTCTTTCTTTCCCCTTCTTCAATTTTACGCTCAATTCCTTTACTGTTCGTTGGATCAATTTTTTTGATTTCACGCTCAATTTCACGTCTTCTTCTTCCATTCCAAAACTCTCATCTTTCTTTTGAGTTGTTCGACAATTTCCTCTTCCAAGGTTTCTTTGACATTCTATTTTTCTGCATCAATGGCAACTTCGTCTCTCAAAATTGAAGGATTGCTAGGAATGGTCACTCTGAGTTTGATAGATGATAATTTCTTGAAATGGCAGTATCAGATTGAATATGTCCTGGAAGGTTATGATCTTTTCGGCCATTCGATGGATCTACCATTGCTCCCCTAAAATTTGCTATTTTGGATGAAGGAGTCACCTTGGAGGTTATTGCAACATATAAGGAGTGGCTTTGGGCTGATAAAACGTTATTGAGTTTTCTGATTGCAACACTCTCGGACAACATGATTGAAATGTTATCGGCAGTAAAACGACTCGTGATGCTTGGTTAAGCCTCTGTGATAGCTATGCCACAGTGTCTCGTGCTGGGATCAATCATCTCAAGACTGAGTTGTAGACGGCTCAAAAAGGTGTTGATTCAATCGATAAATTTCTCCTGCATCTTAAACATATCAAGGATCAGTTGTCCATTACTGGAGTTTCGATTTCGGATGATTATCTCATGATCGTAGCCCTCAATGGATTACCTTCTGAGTACGATATGATCAAGACATTTCTCATTGCTCGAGATACTTCCATTTCTTTCAAAGAGTTTCATACTCAGCTTTTAGTTGCTGAACAATCTGTTGAATCGCGCATTTTAGCTCTTCATACTCCTTTGGTGGTCATACTTCTTCTAGCTCTAGCAATACAGGCGTTGGTTACTTCCAACTCCCCTCGACTGCTCTTGTATCTCCTTTTGGTTTTCATACCAGTCTTTGCGGATTACCATTGTCCAATTGGTGATCCTATGACCAGGAATAGTTTAGGATTCGATATTACTATGATGGAAAGGTCTTGTGAATCTAACTTCTTTAGACTGCTTTCCATTCATATCTTTATCCATGTACTTGTTACTTTATGTACATTATGTATCTTAGAGTCATGCCCCTTTGATTATATTAATTATATTATATACTTAGAATATTCTATTTTTATATTGGCTTCTAGGGCATATATGGACACGTCATCAGTTAACATCTGACCAAACGGTCAACTTAAGGGAAGGCTTAAATTGGTCAAATTTGAAAACTGTAGAGTGTAAATTGATGAAAGGGCTAAGGTCAAAAGACCCCATGAAGGTTCGGGATCACTGTCAATATGGGCCCTCGAGTTTCAATTTCATCAATTTACACCTTATGGTTTTCAAATCTGACCAATTTCCGCTAAATTGACCATTTGGTTAGACGTTAATTGATTACGTGTCCACTGTGGGACCCACCAATTCCTATAAAAAAAATTAATGGATGAGCTCGAAGGAGTAGTAGTTGACAAAGTTGCGCTTTGGAGAGGAGGTGCAAGTGGCTGGATTCGTTAGAGAGGGGTTTTTTTAAAACAAAAAAGATTTTTTTTAATGTTATTTTATTATATTGTATAATTGATTTATTAAATATTTTAAGAAATTAGTGGGTCCTACAATAAGCACGTCATCAATTAACGTCTGACTAAACAGTCAACTTAACGAAAGACTTAAATTGGTCATATTTGAAAACCATCAAGTGTAAATTGATAAAATTGAAACTTAGGAGCACATGTTGAGAACGACCCCAAACTTTTAGGGGGTCTTTTTAACATTAGCCCTAAAAATAATTTTTGGAAAGTTCAAAATTATAAGGGCCCAAATGAATATCACTTCAAATCTTTAACGATACAAGGGCCCACATTTGAAAATTATTAATTGGCTGTGGAATAAGAAATATGCAATTAATTAAACACTTCCTTCAAGAAAATGTTTAATTCTTCTAGTTTGATGATTTCTTTTTGTTATCAACCGTATGATGGTTTGCATTTGTTTTAGTTCGATTAAACTACTATATTTAAGCCAAAAAGAAAATATATGTGTAGAAAATCATCTTTCTTGTTAAATTATGATTTGTGTATAGAGAAATTAAGATCCAACACCTAGAATATTGTATGTGGGCTCTTCAAATCGGCCATACTTTTTGTAGGAAAATCACAAGCTTCTTGATCTACAACCATTCATAAAGTATCCTAAGGCACCATTTCAAATGAAGCATCAGAATTGAATCGTACATGCCAGCATGCAATAGCTAGCACAGACCTCAGCTGGTCCTATTCATTAATTCAATTCTCTTCTGGAAAGTTGTCTATAAAGACATTTGATTTGTTCATTGTGTAACTACATTCAGCAATACAGTATACTGCTAGACCAAGCTCAATATTAATTACAGCAAAAATTTATACAAGAAGTAGGCTTGCTAACCAAGCTCAATATTAATCACAAGTAGGTGGGTTGCAGCTGGTCTTGAGCTCCAAATCCTTGAGCCCCTAATCCTGGAGATTGCAGCAGCCTCCCAAAGTAGAGCCAAACTCATTAATTCAATCAACCTCATTAATGCAGCCGACCTACAGCTGGTCTAGCTAACATAAAAAGAAAAAGAAAAAAGAAAACAGAGAAAGGGAACTATTAAAAAGTAATACACATTTGTACTAGAATAATATAGAAATGTCTTGAATAATCTAGAAAAATCAAGAAAGATTGAGAGAAAGTAGAAGTTAGAAATATCTATTAACTATAACTAGATAAATCTAGAATCATGTGAAAAATTGTGGCTAAAAACAACTTTGGAAAAGTCAAACTAACTTTTCCAAAGTATGCTGCCGACATAGCACTCCTATATGGGTGGTGCTAGAGGCACCAACTTTGGGCACCAACTTGCTCACCAACTCTCTAATAGAGGTGGAGCCCGCCAATACAACGGGTCCCACGCTCTATTAGAGAGTTGGTGAGCAAGTTGGTGCCCAAAATTGGTGCCTCTAGCATTTTCCCTCCTATATATAGCTATTAGTGAAAAATTGTGGCTAAAAACAACTTTGGAAAAGTCAAACTAACTTTTCCAAAGTATGCTGCCGACATAGCACTCCTATATGGGTGGTGCTAGAGGCACCAACTTTGGGCACCAACTTGCTCACCAACTCTCTAATAGAGGTGGAGCCCGCCAATACAACGGGTCCCACGCTCTATTAGAGAGTTGGTGAGCAAGTTGGTGCCCAAAATTGGTGCCTCTAGCATTTTCCCTCCTATATATAGCTATTAGTGAAAAATTGTGGCTAAAAACAACTTTGGAAAAGTCAAACCAACTTTTCCAAAGTATGCTGCCGACATAGCACTTCTATATATAGCTATTAGCAGCACATATGTATTTATTCAAGGAAAACTTGAAATCTACAGCTGCCTAACTCCTCCCTTTAGCCAACCCTTGTATCCAACCAATTCTAAAGCCTTGTACCCTTCTTATTTCAATCAATAAAATAAAATAATCTTGTTACCCTTTCAAAAAGGCTTTCTATTCCACATAAAGAATATTGTCCTAAATAAATCAACTATTCTCTAAGCCTCTCTTCTCCCTTCAACTAACAGGAACTAACAAGTCTTTGATAAGCCAGCATTGAAAATGGCTAATATCAAGTCATTTTTACTATGTCGTATCATTCCGTGTTCATGTCACGAACCCGTTTCATTAATAGTGCCCAAGAACTTAAACCTAAACCAACCTAAAATCAAGTTTCCTGTATTTCTAAAGTTTCACATATACATTAGTTACAAAATCAACACATGTCCCTCGACCAACACTCATGCGCTTGACAAGTAACTATAAAGCCTTGGTATAATAGACATGGTGACTTGTGTTGCTCTTTCAGTCAGCTTGCCTACAGCAACTGCAGGAATTTGTCATATCTACAGATAAAGAATGGGACATGGGGTCCCTGATGTTTACAAAATATAGTCTGCTTATTTGTATCTCGTTTCAAGAAATCTATCCAAGTTGTAAACCAAAGGAGAAAGTGACCCTCAAATTAAGTACTGTTTACCCCGAAAAGGACCCGCCGGCCATTCGCGTGGGGTTTGACCGTGGAGTTTTCTTGTTGCGATTGCGAACGCGTGCCACTGTTGGCAGTGAAAAACTCCAACAGACTAAGAATGGTAAGACTGAAAAATGCACACCGACATTGACTTTAATCAATTGATTGTGGATTGGGTGGGGAATTGACCCAATACAAGGTTCTTTTCTATGCCTCAATTAAGAGGACTTCAATATTCATCTAGTGCGAAAATTATAACTGACAGAAGCTAAAATTGAACGGTAGTGGAAATGACATAAGTTTATTGGAATATTTCTCTATTTGGACAACTTGAAAGAAAAAGGAACAACACAGCCTGAAGATTTCTCTATTTAGACCTGGTACAAAATTAAAATGGAGATTGAAGATTTCTTTATTCAATCTTGTACAAGAATAAATCATGCCAAGAGTTGGCATAACAAAATAAAGAAAATTCCTCAGGAGTTGTCAACTGGGAAATTCAGAGAATGAAAAAGGAAGGTTGCTTCAAGCTTTTGAGTTGGGTTTATAAACGTTGAGTCTGGTTTTTGTTGGTTGAGTTGTGTGTGTCATTTGCTGATGATTTCTCCTTCAATTTATAGAGAATGGAGGTCGGTTGAGTGGACCAGTAGCCAATTTGAAGTACCCACTTGCCATTGGTTTTGATGAGTGGGTTGTTGAAAATACAAGTAAACCCAAAAAAGTTGATAAGAGGCTTTAATGTGATTTGACAGAAATTGTCACTAGTAGACTTAAAGAAATCCAAACTATTAGTCCACTTGTCATTGATTGGTGAGTGACAACTAAAAGTAGCTGACTAAAAGACAAAAAGAAATGGAGAGACAATGACCACCATCTTTACTTCTTTCCTTATTAATTCTTTAAGTCCACTTGCATATTATTTTATTCTTCTTTCAACCTTGGTGTAGACTTTTAACGTGTATGTTGGGCTTTGGATTTGTTTTAATATTCTTCAGATATCACAGAGAATATTAAATTGTTTCCATCTACCACATCTTCATTTTATTCTTCTCTGAATCAACTCACCGGTGATGAAGTCCCTCCATTGATAAAGTGAAACTTGATTTGCAGCCACAGAGTTTCTCCTCCGAACATGCCTTGATGCATAATAAACTGGGAATGCTAGGTTGATCCAATTGCTGCCAATTTCAGATATGTTGTTGTCCACATAAGTAGGAACAACATTCATGAAGAACTTAATTCCATTTGAGCAATAGAAAATCTGATTTAGCATGATTGCTACTGACTGGTCGTCACAGACTGCTATCACAAACAGAAATCATGATTAGTGCTATGTAGATTCAATACTTGTGCAAATGACGCCAAATTTGGATATGTCGTAGTAGACATCCAAATGAACAACTTTCATGAAGAACGAATGTTCATTTGTGTCATGCCCCAACCCACGGGTTTACGTAACCTTGGATTAAGACGTGATTCACACCTTAATTACAGAATTTAATAAAAACTATAACTAAAATGTGAAGAAACATTTAAATAAATAAAGTAAATATTTCACATAGAATATTCAGGGAAACGACAACATCTGAAATCTTGAAATTGTTACATTATTTTATAAGTCAGAACTACTCAAGAGTTCACTAAAAGAGTAGCTCATTATTTATCCACAAGCTATGTACACAGTACACTCTTATAAATAATGCCAAAATCATCACAAGCTCTAGATTTCAGGTTCGGTACTTGCAAAATCTATTAGGGGGTGAGCGAAACCACAGCTCAGTAGAGACATAAACCTTTTTATAGGAAATTAATATAATTAAATTAAGTGACATACAATCACACAGTCAAATATCACATTAATAATAATAACGCATGAATGCTCTTCATCTAATCCCATTAGTTCATAGAACTGGACAAGCAGACCTGCACGTCCCATACCATGCTTATACCACTTGGTCCCGAATGCCCATTTATATGAACTAACACCCATCTCAATCATCCCAAAATTCCCCTTTTGTTAGTCATCTTATCTAACTCCCTGTTGCTAGTCCCGAATCACCCAATAAAAACCATGTGCACTGTGGGATCCCTGAGACCTGGTACTTGCCAAGAGTTAGACTCAACTACACAAACGACTATTCCATTACCCTCTTTCCCATCATTATTTTCTCAATCTAGCAATTCCAACCAATTTCCATGACATGATATAATTATGCATTTCACATATCTCATGTATCTCACAACAATGTAAGCATTTAAAACATCACCAATGTATATACAATTATGCCAACATTGTTCAACCAGTCAAGAACATATAAACATTCCAGGAAAAACATTCAATTGTAACAAAAATATTAATCAAATAATCATATCACGCATAATATAGTGTTCACAAAATTTAATTAAATCAATCTCTGAAAAATGCCCCCAAGAAACCCCTACCTTGATTCCAATGTTTTTACAACATAAGATAACTCTACAATCCAACACTTTGAGTTCCTCCAAAGTCTTTCTTGTTCTACCAACACTTTCTAATATTTTTCATCTTCTTTCTTCTCTCTATCACTTTCTTGTTTCTCTTTCAATTTCTTTCTCTCTTCTCATGCACAACTATGCATGAAAACAAGAAATGATGATCCTATTTATACTAAGAAGAAGTGGCAACTGTCCTATGCTTTCATTGGCTGCATGTTGATTTGCTTCAAGTATGGATAACTATTTCTACAATTACAACAACTCATGGTAATGTTGCTTAGTCACAATGACACTTGTAAGCCTTAGTGTGCTGCAAGTAGGTGTTCTTCCACGTTGATTAACTAGTAGGCAAGGAAATGTAAAGTTGCCAACTACAACAATCAAAGTCAAGAGGTGTTGCATGCAAGAGATGAAGATTGAGTTTCCTAAGCCCAATTCTAATAAGTCCATGAATTAAAACTATTATTAGACCTTAGCTTCTTAACACATAGAAGATAAATAACACAATTCTAATAATTGAATATTATTCTAAATATATACAATTAAATACCCAAAAATATCTAAGGGTACCCATTTTAAAGAAAAACA